TCCTGGAGTCTTGATCCGATACGCCCGGTGGCCGTTCATGTTCGGCTGTCGACAGCACCGGCGCTCAATGCCCAGCACGGCAGCACCACTCGGATTGCGTCATGGCTGTTGCTGATGTCCACGGCCAGCTCTTGCCATCGAGGAGTTCTGACCGCAACAGCATGCACGACAGCACGCCGGAGACCTCATGGTGGTGGTACCGTAGAGTTCCTTCGATGGAAGAGGAATGCAGGCATGCAACGCTTCCCGGCAGAATGAAGATGGCACCTTGATACGAAACACCGGCCTATCCATATATGGAGCTCTGCTGCCGTCGTTGAGCGTCGCCCGGTTGAACGCATGGCCGGATCGACATCGGAGGATGAGATCAAGGAGTCAGGATCGATCTGGACCGGACACGGGCTGGGTGTAGGTAGGGCCATAGGGGCAGGCCCAAACATTAAGAAAATTGATTAATCAATAATTATAATTGGATGGTTGCTTTAAGATGTGTGCAATTTCTTAAAAGAGGTGTACCGGAGCAATTCTCATTTAGAAAATCCAAAACGTCTTATAATTTGGAATGGATAGAGTACAAGAAAGCTTTCTGTTGGTCTACATATGCCAATGTGACTGTAAATATTTTTGTTGGAAAATCGCTTCCCACTTCAGACATGCATGCATCTCGGTCTACATTCATCTTGTTCTTATCTCTCAGTGTCCATATATCGTCCATTTGCTCGGGGATGATTACACGAATTGAAGTTGCACTTCTGCTCTCAACACTACAACCTTCTGGTGGTGAAGCAAGCATTTATTTTGGTTTCGGAATTTTTGGAAGTGATTGTGTACATCTAACCTAGCTGATGTACACTTCAGCAGTTCAGCTCTCAAACACAGCCTACAGTGTTGATGAAGCTTCCTTTTGGTTGTGGACTTTAAGGAAGTGGCTGTGGGCACAGAGCTCAGCAGATAGGTATGGTTCACCGTGTGAACACATGGCGGAGATGTGCCCATGTGTGTGTGATGAATGATTGACATAGGAGTTGAGAGGTTTGAGACTTTTCCGGTTGAATCATATTTCAAATGTGCTTGATTATGCTAATGGCTAATCGGAGGTGTCGTGTTGAGTTGTGTCGTGTGTGTTGTGCAATATGTCTCTTGGCTTGTGAATGTGTGCAGGTGTTAGGTGCGCCAAGATGGTGAGGGCAATGGAGAAGGTCAAGTGTGAAGTTCGTCTTGTGATTGACCGGAGAAGCGGTGGAGGGCGGATGAGAAAGGCTCGGACTGAGAGACCAGAGAGAATGGACTATGTCAGCAGCTCACATGTGCAGCTCACATCGAGCACATGAAGGGCAAGAGTACATTGGTGATAGAGGCGCGTCGATTAGTCAAGGAGGAGCACGTTGGCGTAGCTTGGACACACATCTACACGGGTAATGAAGATGGCATTGATCAAGTTAAGAAGGAAGGCGAAGGCATCAAACTTGGCGGAGGTTGGATACACGTCGACACTAAGCGAGTCACTCCTAGTGAGACGCACATGAGGGTTTGCTCGGTCTGGTCATTAAATCGGGATGGAGCAGGTTTGATGGTTTGAGTCTCAAACCATCGGAGGAGGGTTTGCTAGTTTGGTTCTCAAAACTAGGCATCGACGGTTTTAGTGGTTTGTGCCTCAAAACCATTGATGGTGGGTTTGACCGGTTTGGGCCTCAAAATCGGGGAGTGATGGATCGGCGGACACGTGGTGGATCTCGAAGCTTGCATCGAGAGGTGAAGTAGAGTTGAGAAAGGCGTCAGTCCGTTGCATCGTTGAAGAAAAAATTTGGATAGATGTACCTATGTTAGGTGTTTGGGCTAAGTGCTTCGTGTAACACAGGTTCAATACATAAAAGTTTAACACACAGTGTTCAATACATACCCGGGGACTCTCGGTTTGGGCTGGCCTCATGAAGGTCAAGGATGAGTTTCTTCGATGGGCGGGTTTGATCTAGGTGATTTTGGCCCAGTGCGTTTTTTTTGGAGGATTAAGTGGATTACGCCACGCCCTTTAAAAAAACGATCTTCCCGGCATTATACAACATTGTGATAAAGAAAAAAGTGCATCTGTTGGATTGTCTTCGTCTACGACACCGTTAAATGTAGCTTTCAAGAGATCTCTCGATGGGGCCTAATCTGCAAGCATGGTACAATATGGTGCTCATGGTTGCAAATGTTTATCTAACAAATCGGAGAGATCGCTTTGTGTGAGGTTGCATCGAATGGGTTGTTCTCGATAGAAATTCCATGTACAGAGCATTGCTAGGCGTTCGAGGCTTTACCATATAACAATTTAATTTGGAAACTAAACCTACCTCTCAAAATTAAAGTCTTTATGTGGTATTTGTACAAGGGTGTAATCTTAACAAAAGATAATTTAGCTAGGCGACAGTGGCAAGGAGATACGAAGTGTTGTTTCTGTTCTTGAAAGAGTTTATACAACATTTACTCTTTGGTGTCATTATGCTAAATTCATGTGGAGAATTGTTCAAGTTTCGTTTAACCTAAATCCTCCAAATAGTGTACACAATTTGTTTACAAGTTGGTTGGAAGGGTTAAACAGGAAAATGAAATCTAAAATTCTTGTAGGGGCAAATGCTATTTGCTGGGTGCTTTGGCTAACCCGTAATGATATCGTGTTTGACAAGGCCATAGCACTATCTTATTTGCAGGTTATCTTCAAAGCGACATATTGGATCGAGTTACGGTCACTTCTTGAAAAGAGGAAGATCGCCATTCAAAGTGAAGATGGGTTGTAGAACCATTGAGATAACTTGCGATAGAGGTGTTTGCAAGACACGGCTGGAGATTTAGAAATAGAATTGATATCTAGTTTTTTTTCCTTCTCAAAATTTTGTTGGCTTTTATGGCTCAAAACTTTGTTTTTGAGATTCCTTGGACCTTTTTACGTGTGTTTGTAATAACGAACAGCCATATGCATTAATCAATGCAGAAGCTGGGATATTAATATATTCCTTTTTCTAAAAAAAAGTGCTTCGTGTAAGCGCGGCTTAGAAAATAGCCAAGTTCCTATATATATGGGAGGTGGCTGGTTGTGAGGCCAAGCCTTTGGATGCCTTTGGGATTCGTGAGGTTGAGAGCTTTTGGGTTAGGGCTAGGAAGAGAGGGAGAGGGAGGAGTGTCTCCTTGATTGAGCTATTAGGAGTGGCTTGTAATAGCACATGGTGAAGTAATCAAGAGACCAAATTCGTATGTCACTTCTCTCCCAAATATGAATTTTCTCTTTTTTTTTTGGTTTTTGTCGTGGTCATTTTTCGGTGTTTTCGTGCTGCTGGTTTGGCTGTATCTTTGACACATTTTTAGAAGTCTTTGGGATCCTTGGAACATATCTAAACCATATCTTGAAACCTAGCTTCTGATCTCTTGGATCCAAGCCCCAAAACTTTGCTTTCCTTCTTTGGTGATTTTCTTGAACATTTTTGAGCTGAAGGTTTTGGGTTGTTCTTGATGAGCAAGATGCATAGCTTCAATGGATGTTCCATGCATCCTGTGACATTTGCACTCGAGCTATTCATGTAGAAATGAAATCCTGCATTCTTGAATGGAAACGTTGCAATGATTTATTTTTCGTGCCACTGTATGATATGTATGAACACTAACAAATTTTGGCATCAAAGTATATATACAACAAAAATATTTTTATTTAGATTTATAGAAAAAGTAGTACAAAGGTTTCAAAACATTACCAATCATGCACACATGCTAAATCTTCATTTTTGATAACCTAGATCTTGAAAAGACAGAAAGACCGAACCGAATTCTGTGGTCAGACTGAATGCCCACCCCTATCTAAGGACTCTGTAATCGATATGAAGCCTGTAAGAGTCATTCACGAATTGTTTCATAACAACTATTAACATGAAAACTGGTCCATGACAACATAAACAATCCGCAATTTCACCATCAACCACCTTCCCTTCATGGCTTCTTTGAACAAGTCTTCAGTGATCTCGTCAGTTTTCAGGTCCTTGTTAACATTTGCACCCAGTACAATAAACATGTCATTGCACTGCACAAGTGCCTCCTCCTGTGCTAGTAATGTGACAGCCATATAACGCTTGGAGCACGGCCGCATCATTCCTTTGCTCGGCTGTGCCCTGTACTAGGTTCTGTTGATCTTTATATTAAATGCAATGAATCCATCAGTAATGTTGGTTAGCTGCAGGCAACATGATATAGCCTTCCTTGGCTCGAATAGGAAGCGCAGCTCCAGGGCCGGATCTATGGCAAGAAAGTTGAAGTCAGAGCTTCTCTGCAAGGATGAAGGGTTAATTAATGTGATTATGTGAATGTGTGTCCTTTATTTATCATAGCGTGTTGAAGTAAGCTTAATTGTCAAAGTAAATCGCATGGGTGCCATTATTTTGACTAAATCCTAGTACATTGTTTAATGAAATCAATTCGGATGCAATCTAACATATAAGTGTTTGTATTTTGGATCTTATGAACACTTTACTTCATGAAATGTTTTTACACAAATAATAGTTATTAGGCATCCTGGCTCAAAGAACCTATGAATCTAAAACATTTGTTTTTTTTTTCCAAAGTAGGCTAACAAAAGGTGATTTGAATCACTCAAGCATCTATATTCTATCAGAATGGTTGTACCTGGGCAATTAGATCTTTTGTCTCATCAGATGGTAGTGACATTTTCATAATTTCCGTTTCTAATTGTTCCAGTTCATCGACAACATCCTTTATAGACGGCCTCGTTTTCCTGTCAGCTATCACACATCTTAAGGCGATGTCAATACATTTCTTCACTCGTAGGATTTCTATTTCCGGCGATGGATGCTCATCAGGCATTTCTTGCAGTCTTTTCTTCCACTTTTCACATACCTGATTGGCACATAAAGTTAAGGAACATCAAATAAAATGGATGCAAATGATACAGAAAATTATGGGAAAAAAGAGACGATCGTTCCTCATATTTCTTTTTTCTTACATGCTCAGTGAACTGCTCGGCGTCCATTTCAGCAGAGCGGGTGCGACCCATATTTCCATCCATTACTTTAATAATTATAACTCCAAGACTGAACACGTCATACTTCTTTGAAACAGATCCATTATCTACGTATTCTGGTGGCATATAGGATATAGCCGCTGCATAGCATATATCGGGCACGCCGCCTGCTTCCGCAGCTCAGTTCCGTCCTCGCGCACGCCGCCGCCAACGCCATCGCCGTTGGCCGCCGCTGCCGCTGCCGCGTCCCCACCCTGCGGCCCTAACCGCCTTCTTTCTCGCCGAGATCCGCAGGTGCCGCCAACCTCTCCTGCCACCCGGAGCGCACCAACACCGCCGCTTCGCCGCGACCACCACGCGCACAGAAGGCCACCGTAGCGACTCCATTACTAACCTCTGCGGCGCAGCCCCAAGGCATCAGCACGGGCTCGTTCCTCCTCGCTCGGAACTCGAATCCGGCCATTCAGAGCCCAGCGGCGGAGAATCGAGCGGCGTAGCCATGCCCCGCCCGCCCGCCCGCATTGGCAGAGACGATGGAACGACGTGTGGTGCCGTCTCGGCAGCAACGGCTTCACCGGCTCCGGCTAGAGTATAGGCCATGCGACGCACGAGCCGACCTTGTCGGGCACGGCAACAGGGCACTGACAGGTCAGACGGACGAGTGAGGATTCAGGCAATGGAGCAGTATGAGTTGGTTTTCTTTTCTTTCACTCGTCGACTCTCTTGTCTCTTCTGGTTTCTCGAATGCTCCGATTCACAATTCTTCCGTCCGTTTCTGCTATGAGAGAATGTGTTTCTCTGAATTTTCAGTTTTCAGTTCAAACTTCGAGATCAATTTCAATTCCAAGATCGAAGTTGATGTTAACGTTGCTTTATGCGCTCTCTATCTGTTGATATTCGGATGGCAGTTTCAGGACAGCTACAAGCATTTCAGTATATACCCAAACAGCTTTTTCCAGGGTGTAAAAATCATTTGCATTCAAGGGTTTACTTGTGCACAACAAATTACAGTTGTATTGCATTTACAAGTGCATAAATTTTCTAAACACCCAAACAGGGCCTAACAAGAATATGTATATGTTTAACAAACATCTTAATTATTAGAAGGAGGAACAGGACAACAGATTGAAACAGTTACCACCAAATGCACAAAAATTGACATGTACTTCCATGACATACACGTACGATTAACTATTTCCCATTTGGACCAAGCTTCACACATGATTTGCCTTGTGCACAAAGAATTGAAACTATCCAGAGTATTAACACATACCTGCTGGAAACGATAGCAGAGACAGGAGTGGTTAATTTTGCTGCTTGGCGATGATGATCCCATCCAGCCTCATTTATTTCAGTCGAAACAATATTTTTCTCTCATAACAAATCAGCCGGAACAGTGTTTCAGCTTGTTTTTTCAGCGAAGCGAAAGGATCCATAATAGGCTACATGGTCTAGCCAATAGCTCTGCAAATCTGACCAATGGTGAAACACGGTATGATGGGACATTTGGAAGCTAGTAGAACTCGTCACGTGGTTCAACAAAAAGGATGAGTGGTTCTTATAGCAAGTTTAATAAACTGGGCTATAAGCAAAGCCAAGTCAACAATAGATTAATATAACAACTAAGACATACAATAATCCGGTTTCTTCTCTTGAACTAAATATAATTACTACCTCTGTTCCGTTTTATAAGGCGTGGGCTACGATCACACGGTCTCTTAAATTACATTTTGACCATTTATTTACTTTATATTATACTTTTTATGCTTATAAATTTATAATTATTGAATATGACAACTACTTCCGAATCTTATCATATGAATTTTATATTATGATAGTTAAAAATTGTTCGCCAAATTATTGGTGAAAGTTTTTAGAGTTTGACTCTTAATACATACTCCTTATAAAAATGAATGGAGGTACTATTTTATTATGAGTGGGACCCGCCCACTTTCTCTCTCGCTGTCTTTATCTCCCAGAGCCATTGAAACACGCAGGCCCACAAATAGCAGGAGACGTGCTATCCCTCCATGCTCTGACTTGTGACAAGTAGACTGTCGTTGGTATTTTGTCTCATCCATCTAGGCATTTATTGGCTAAACTTGGCTATAAGCAAAGCCAAGTCAACAATAGATTAGCCCTACGCAGCCGCTGCCACCGAGACACCGCCTGCCGCAACTCTAACCTCGCTCTTGCCGCTTGCAGGCATGCTTAGGGCCCTCCCTTCTTCCTCTCCAGTAGCGTCTGAGGGACAAGAAGGAGAGGGACCTATAACGATCCGAGTTCGTTACAATATAGTCTCTTATTTTGGACCATCGGAGGAAGCAACCTACAATGAGCTTCCCGTGGAGATCCACAGTGCTCGAGCAAGATTGATCGTTGAGAATCCACCATAATCACCCCATAAGCACCCCTAGATAGACGTGGATGGGCTCACACCGAGCAACGGAGAACCCTTACATGGATTAGTACTCGACCTATTGACATAATCAAAACTAGCTCAACCTCGTGGAGTACCCTAGATTATGATATCTTGGCCTTCAATACAAGCCACCGATGACTTAGCTAATTCAAAGAAAGATGAGATTTACCGAGACAACCCGCTAGATGTACTTGGACCATCCGCCAGTGTCACGTAAGCGTAAGGAATAAGTGGAAAGTGAGCCGTTTTCCATTTATAAAGACTTGGGCCTACATGTCAGCACAAGAATGAGATAAACCTTAGCTGAAGCCACATCTCCCCACTCACTCTCTCACTCATCCCTTCATTTGCAACACACTCCCTCTCTCTCTACACTCAAGAGCAAGCAAGAACCCTAGAACTAGAGAGGGAGAGAGATTGGAGGAAAGATTGGAGAAGGAAAGGAAGAAGAGGAAGAGAAGCAACTCATGGACATCCCCCACTTCTTCAACGTCATTCATGGTGAGCTCAAGAAAAGTAACTCTTATTTCTTGGATTTTTCTCCAAAAGCCTAATTTATGGTTCTTGGTGCAAGATTGGAGACATCGTGCTAGTGTTGATTCCATCATATGTAGAGTAAGTTCAGGAGAGCTTCATCTAGCTAAATCACCCATTTATCTTATCGATTGTCCTTTGATTCATCCTTTTTGGAATGTTGCAAGAGGAAGCTCATGAGGAGCCAATCTCTCTTTGGATGAAGAGGCATGGATATAAAGAAATTGAATCTTCAAGTTTTTGGCCACGGAAGCTCTCAAATCTCAGAGCTAAGGATTTCATCTCGATATTATGGTTTATCCCCTTTTTGTCATGTTTTTGGTTAAAACCCCAACCCATAGTTACATTTAGTAAACCTAGCTCAGAACATAGTATTCTTGAGCCTAGTGAGCCACCTAAAATATCCTAGGAATATCTTGCACATGCATGGATCACAGCACCAACCATCTAGGCTTGAAACCCAAGATCACCCATGAAAAGTTGTGAACACATGTTCTGTCGATGATTCAACGGAGAGTCTGTCAGATGCAACGGAGTGTCCGCCAGTTCTAGACAGTCACCCAGTAGAGCCTTGTACTCCTTCGGAGTAAGTCAGTGGAGAGTCCACGATATCACACGGAGTGTCCACCGATTTATAAAGATAGTAACCCAAGTACCCGATAGAACCTGATTTCTAGTGGAGAGTATGTGACCTCTCACGGAGTGTCCGCTGAAATATAAACCCAGTTAACCAGAAACCCGAGATCTCCCAGTTTTCACTAGAGTGTCCGTCGCAAGGTTCAGATAGTCCGATGAAAGATGTAAACCCAAAAAGTGCCTAAGTCCTAAACCACCAGAGTGTTCTTCGGAGCATCCGCCAGGTGTTGACATTTCTTAGTGTCGCTACAAGGTTTGTAATCCCCGACAACGACGCCAGAAATGCGTATTGATATTTCTTATGCTCAAGTAGAAAATTCCGCAAGAGCATAGAATATCGTTATAGCATTTCACCCGGGAGTATTCCAGGTATCGTTATTTATATTTTACCACAGGGAAGCAATGGTTAAAGATAGTGATAGTTAACCATCATGTATCTTCTAACTAGTATACCGACTAGACTAAAATGGGGGTAAGTGATACACACTAAAGTGGGGTGACACACAAGTATCAAATCATGGAAAGGTAAATTGGAAACATAACTAAGTAGCAGGACAATAATAAAGAGAACTAGAATCCTAAGTTACTTCTATTCAAGCACCACTCTAGCTAGTGACTATGGGTATACTGACAAACCAAGATAGTGCAAGGTAGGATGCAATAGCACTTGAGGCGTACCTGACCCAAACTCACCCAGAGGGTTGATTGGGCACAAAGCACCACGAGCCCTATGATTTAACAACTAGACCTATCGTGGGGGAATACATAGGATGGACAGAGCTATCACCACCTGCCAACTACCCCAATCTATCCGGAGGCCTAGCCACATTGCAAGGTACCTGATTTATAAGCACCACGCTTACACTATCTGATACTACTCTAGCCTCACGTTAAGACTAGAGCATCAACTAGTGACGGACAACCCATGCTACTGAGAGCCCACTTATCATAGGAATTATAAGCATAACCAAAGTATAACTAGAGAACAAGACTAGTACATAAAGTAAAAGACTTGAAATAATACTTGCATAGAAAGTAACATACTAATAAATAAAGTACTTACAAAAGAGAGACAAAGCTATACCAGACTCCTGAAGACTGCTCCAGAGCTCCCACCAAGACTAGCTACTACTAGAAGAGCTACATCTTGAGAGAGTAGAGAGAGAGCTACATCTCTTGTGTAGGTAGGTGTGTGTTACAAGTAAGGGGTGAGGGTCCTATTTATAGCCTAAGGTGGAGTAGGGGCTACTCCATCGCCACGTCATCGATCCATTGCTCTCCATCCTCCTCCATTGGATCAAACCATCATATAATCAAGGGTAGAGAGCATTTGAGCATGTGCTTCTTTGCATGGAGGCATGCAATGGCGGTGTGGAGAGAGTGGGGCGTCGGGCGGCATAGGGGTGGCACCGGCTGGCCCCCCTATGATAGGTGGGACCTCCCTCCTCTTCTAGAAGCTTGGCCCACATGTCATGAGTCGGTGTGGGTGCTTGGAGCTGTTTGTCCTGTTGGTTGTGCTGCCATGACACGTCAGCGATCCGTGTGATGCTCCTTTCAGGCCTTTGATGTTGAACCGACTTGAGATCAGCGGTGGAGAAGCCTTGGAGGACCTCTCCCATGGATCAGTGACGTGGCAAGGGCAGGTGGGGCACTGGGCGGTGCCACTAAGTGGCCCATGGTGGCCTACCTTGCTCCAATTGCTTCTAGTTGCTTGATTTTTGATGTTTTTGTATAGTTTTCTTGCATGAGCAAAGATCTCCAAGTACAAGGGAAAATAGGTGAATTATAAACATAAATCACTACCTATGTTATTTTATATTGTTGTTTACTCCCATTTTTTGTGCAATGTTGATGGTCAAAATTGGCATTTA